GGTCAGGTCAGGTTGGGCAGCTGAGGTTATGTTATGGGGTGAGGTCAGGTTAGGCGGGTGAGGTCTGGTTAAGGAACTGAGATCAGGTTGGGTGGGTAAGGTCGGGTCAGGTGGGTCAGGTCAGGTTAGGCATCTGTGGTCATGTCAGGTGGATGAGGTCAGGTTGGGCAGCTCAGATCAGGCTAGGCAGCTGAGATCATGTCAGGTAGGGCAGGTCCCGATGCTCATAATAGGGGCCAGCTTCCTACCACGTGCCGGACGGCCCACGTACTTGCTTGAAATAGGACGAGCAAGGTGTCAGGACTAAAAGGCTGACTTAGGCACCAGATACTTCAACCGAGGTGGATCTTGCGGAACTCTGCTCACGCGGCGTCGAAAGGTCGACCGTCGATCCATTGGCACAAGACACATTCCACGTAAGTGCGAAAATTACCTCACTGATACCTTTTCGTCACAAGACAACCACTTACAGACCATCCAACTTGTATACACAATGGAGGTACGCTTGACATATACCAAATGAACTGGAAGTGAAGTCAGTATCACTGATGTTTTAGTAACATGACATACTGGACGGCACGCACGTCGTTTTAACACGTCGTTGGCCCCTATAACACACACATATGTATACATGACATATGTGTGACATATACAAAAAAACACACATATGTATATATGCTCAGGCAGACAGACTATATATATATGTATATATATATATATATGTATATATATATATATATATATATATATATATATATATATATATACATTCAGAAGTCCACCGTGCATGCAGAAACGGGACAGGCCTTCCTCAGGTATGATGATATCCGGATCAACCGATTGCTGGTAGACATGCTATCATGAATGCAAGAGAGGAGTGCATACTCGGCCATTACACTGCACACTGCAACCACTGGCACCGATTCTCGAGCAATGGGAACCTCCTGAGCGACGGAGACATGAAATAGTATTCTTGGGGGAGGCCCCATACATTTACCCGGCGCCTGTCAATTTCACTCGTTATTAAACACCATGTCTGTGGATTACGATGTAAGCTTAATCACACACCCGTAATTCCTTTGATTACTCCGTCGAATTATAGACGCCCTTTTCGTTCCCACGTAGTTTGTTCAGCGTCTGGTACATGAATTATCGCGGAGTCTCACCTTGTTTTCGTCAAATACCCGGAACACCAGGGTGGCAAACCGTGTCGGATCGCCCTGCGGGAAAAACTGCTTGTAGATGTTGATAAAGCCCTGGCGGAGAAAAAAGCAGGTTATGCATACAAATACACACTGCTTCCCAAACCTGTCTCGTCATTGGAGAAACATCATACGTACAGAAGCAAACAATTAATTGTATGATGTCGCCACGAGAGGACTACAGTTTCAAGACCGCAAGAAAACACTGCAGCGCCATGTGGGAAGTTACACATCCATGGCTCTTCGCTCTTCGGTACAAACTTTCTTCAGGTGAACCCATCTTTGTGGTTAGAATTAGTTAGGCCAGTTACAACGCCATTCGTCTTCTGCAGTGTCGTATTTATGTTGACTTCATGTTTATTTTGCTGCGGATCGTACTAAAACGCCAAATCCGAAACCGCTACCTCATTGAACGTGCGACAGCAATCTACGGACAGGACAGCACCAGAATGAGAGCAGGGCTAGGTTCACACCGGGCATTGAATCGATGCATGGGAATGGAATGGGAATGGCGCTGCTGGTGGTGCTGTATGAATCGAGGGCCGCGAGCAATCCAGTATCATGTCGGTAAGGTACGGCATGCATGCCTGATGTTCTTGTTCTTGATGCGGCCACGCTAGAGGTAAAGCAAAATTTTGCAACTGGCCGTCGCAATAACCAGCTAGATTTAGTTTCTCCATATATTGTGGGAGCGAATTTGGTAAGATTATTAAGACATGTACGCTGCGGATAAA